AGGACGGGTTTGTGCTGGGGGGGTCACAGCTCCCAGGGCGGTGGGGGGCCCTCCCGCAGCCCCACAGCTGGGGGCCACGCGGGGAAGGGGGGAGAGCAGCAGCCCCGGTCCTGCGTGAGCGTCAGAGCATCCCCGAGGGGAGCTGTGTGCAGGGGGGCTGCAGGATGGGCGAAGTGGGGGGCTACTGGGGCATTCCCAGAAACGCATCCTCCCCAGACGAACCACAGTGATTTTTAGCGAGCCACTGGCCGGCCCCTTGTTTGGGCTTCAAAGTCTGGACCTCTCTGGGTGACGTGCACCCACCGCTCGGCTCTCTGGCCGGTGCCACCCATAAGGATGGTATTAATCCTCACTGCCAGGTCCTCTCCCCAGAAGGGCGGGATTTGCTTTCCCTGCTCGGGGGCTGTTGGGGGGAAACTGAGGCACCATCGAGCCCTTCGCCCAGCACTGGCACATTTTGCAGCCTGGGACAAGGGTGGCCGGGATGAGGGGCAGCGACACGTAGGAACTGTAGCTGCAGCCTCTTCCTCTCCGGACAGGCCTGCATCTGCCCCAGGGAAGGGCAGCAAATCCAGCATCACCGCTGTCTCCTTGGGCAAATCATTCCCTCTGTGCTCTGGGAGAGAGGCTGGATACTGCCTCGCCTTGTCAGTACCCTAACCTGGGGGATGGGGCTGCCTCGGGGCTGTGCAGTGCCGGCAGGGGAGACCCCAGCCCCCAGGCAAGCAGTGACACAAAAAGGCATTGTAATGATGGAGGTGGGATTAAACGCGTTGGGGAGGCGCAGCTCCCTCCGATGGGTGCCTCTTTCGGGCCAATGCTGAAGCCCCGTGGACCAGCCTGTCCCCAGGACCCATCCCTTACCGCACCGCAGGCAGCAGGCTGAGGGTCTCGCACTGATGCAGAGCTCCTGCAGAGACAACCGCCCTGGCTGGGGGCTTGGGCAGCCTCCCGTGGGCATGAGGGGCTGGAGCTGGCGGTCACAAGCTGCTCAGGTGGGAGAGCGCCGCACCGCATGCGGTGACCATCATCATCCCCACGTGTCGTGGCAACACCATGTTTCGGGCCAGGGCTTTCCACAAACAGCTTCCCCCCACAGAGAGGGTGAAACACTGCCATGGTTTGCTGCAGGAGGGATTTAGGGGATAAAATATCCTCTCCCCAGTCACCAAGCCTAGGCCCTGCAGGCCCCTGGCTGCTTCCCATCTGGAGGCTGGCAAAAGCCAAAGGCACTGAAAACATGGATAAGGAGGACAGCTGGAGCCCGGGACACGTCCGATTGGCCCCCAGTGCCACAACCTAATAGAGCTCCATTAGGTAAGGTAGCTTGCAGCCTCCAGAGCTTCCCGAAAGAGATAAAAAGCCAGTGAAGCGGAAGAAAACCGCACGTCTCCAAAAGCCACGCTTTCGCCGAATCTCGGAGGGGCTCTCTGATGAAAGGCCCCATCGGCTGGAAGTTGCAGACATGGGGGTCGTTAGCACTAATAGCCAACAGCAGCGATGGCCTTGAGAGAAGCTGTGCAAGCAAAGTTTGCTGGCTGCCCAGGTAATGCCAGTAATCATTTCCCAGGCACCGGGCGATCACTCCCGACGTGCGTGCAAGCAGAGCCGCCCCAGGGGCCCGGAGGCTTTAGCAGGCTGTTAGCAGGCAGAGCAAAAAACTGGCCAAAATCGGAGAGTTTACTGGAAAATGGTTGCCTGGTGTGACCTGGGAGAAAGGGAACAGTTTTAAGGGGGAGAGGATGTTCACTGAGTGTGAAGCAGCTGATTTAAAGGGTCTCTGGGAAAGAGAGGGAGGGAGGGAGAGCGGCTCGCAGGCATTAGCTGCGTGCATCAACCCAGAAGGAACCAAACCCAAGGGCATGGCATGGAGGAGCACCCCCCCAGCACGTCCCTGGCGCACAGGGCAAGACCCCACAGGGGCTGGCTCTGTGCGGTGCTGGCACCGGGGGCTGCAGCCCGCAGCCGCGCTCAGCCGTCAGCTCATCTCCATCAAATAAGCGACCTGGGCACTAGCTGCATCCCAAAAGGGAGGGTGCTGGGGGAGGGAAATCCTATAGCCCAGCACCCACACCTCTCACATCCCCGGGAATCAGCGGCAGGACCCATAGGAAAATTTAGGTCAGCAGGGACCCCCAGAGAAAAAACAAAGGACATGCTTGCAGCATCTGCGGGCACTTCTGAGGATGGGGATTTGGGAGAGGAGCTCCGGTACGCTTTGGCCACGGGCCTTGGAGGATGTCGTGGAAATATCCCCTGTGGTGACAATGCCACCCGGACTACAGAAGGATGTCTCTCTGCCTGCAGAAATAGGATACAGGCGGTTCAACGCCGAGCGGGGAGGGATATGCCGAGCGCTGACACTACAAACAGATTGTTTCTGGCAGGGCATGGTGATGTGGAGGAGATCCTCTCTGCCACGGCCAGAGCGCCCGACAGACCCAGATCCCTGCTGATAGCGGGGGTGCAAGCCAGGCAGAGCTGCCAGGCCCCTGCCCGGGGAGGAGGAGGGAGCCATCACCATCACCAACGGGAAGCAAAGCCACAGGAGCCTCCCTGAGCATGAGAGGCTCTGGGGAGCAATCAGCTCCCAGGAAAAGGTGGCAGAGGGTGGTCAGAGCCCCAAAGCTACCCAGTGAGCTCCACCTAGAGCTGGGGAATCAGAGCCATTTGCCTAAAAAAGTGATTTTTGCCATGCAGGACTGAGCTGGCCCCGGGCTGAGGGGTGAACGGAGGAAAGGATGCTGCTGTGGCGGGGATGCCCCACGCCGAAGGGCTGTGCCAGGGCAGGAGGGCTCCTGCCAGCTGGCACCTCCTGCCCGTGTGCCGAGGAGCACTGCTAGGGTGGGTTTTGCCACTTGCAAATCAGCAGCTAACGCCCGACATCGTCAGCTGGGAAGAGCTGAAGGCAAAGGAAGGATGTCGGGAAGAGCTTCCAGCACACGCTGCAATGCTGTCCCCTGCCTGAAGGCAGAGCAGAGGCAGAGCTCCTGCCACCGTCCCTGGGGGTACATGGGGCACTGCTGTCCCCCGCACCTCCCGCCATCCCCCAGGACACCCCGGAGAAATTGCTCTCCTCCAACACTTTGGCTACTGAAGCTGGTGCTGTTCCAGCCAGGCGTAGAGCTGGGGAAGAGGCTCTCCTTGCATTTCCCGTTCACTATGGGGGAAATTTCTTTGGTGATCAGCATCCCACTGGGAAGCCCTGAGTTTTCCCGGACCCACTGTCTGGGACTGGGATAAGGGATCCCTGGGGTCGGGTGCTGGGCTAATGCACAGTAAGATGCTACTCCCCTCTGCACATCCTCATGGGCTCAACAGATCAGGGAACCCAAAGGAGAGCTTGGGCTTCTGGTGTCGGTGATGGAGAGATAAAGCAGGGGAAAATTAAATGAATTTGGGGGGCACAGGGACGTGGTGGCAGAGCCTGGAGCAGCTCCCAGTCACCCTGTTTCCAGCCCAATGTGCACAAGGGTTTTATTCCCCTGCCTGTGCTTGATGCTCTGTCCGTAAAACGGCTGTAAAAGAGCAACTGTGCCGCATAACGGCTTATAGAAAACACAGAAGCATATGTGCCTTTACCATTACAATCATAATTGCAAACATTCAAAAGTCGAGATTTGCAAGCTCCCAGCTTCCCAAAGGCGGATGGATTCGAACCCAAATGACATCCAGAGGAATCAGGAGAAAACCTGCTCAAAGCAAAGGCTGATTTTTCATTTACGCTGTGGTATCGGCGAGCAGGATCTGGGCTGGCAGCCTGATCTCCCTAAGCTGTTGCCGTTAGAGGACAGCTATGCCCCCAGATACAGCCACGGAGA